ACTTATTTATAATATAATGGTTAGTTAAGAGTTCAGGAGGTGAAACTATATAAATTGTAACATAATTGAAAGAGAGAGAAGTCGTGCTCGCCTGGTGTTTTTCACGTAGATGATGGTGGTCTGAAGGATAAGAAGAAGTACTTCAAGAAGATCAAAAACATACGAGAAGGTCAACAAAGATCTAATCGCAATCGAAGGTTAGTTCACATAGCTGGCTGCCGCACAACTGATTGTCCTTTTCAGACCGCATAAGGTCGCGAAAACCATGACTGGTATCGTGGCAGCTAAAAATATCGTTAGAAACAAACGAGAAGCTAAACATTTTTTAATCAAATCGTGTCTGTTTCAACTTGCGGGTGGTTTTTGCTCCACTCAACTGTGAAATAAATATTGTCACTCACTGCCGTTTTATTAGTTTGTTAACTAGATCTGTTCTCACGTCGTTGGAAATGTTCGAATTCGCTCAGTTAATCTAAAAAATAATTAAGAGGCTAACAATTAATTAATCATACTAATTAAATCTTTTTTTGTGCACCAACAAAGATATCATCGTAACGTGTGATAAGGAGGCATATGGATTTACATATTCGATTTATTTATCTATTTGTCCGTACTTGTTGCGTAAAATAGTTCGTTGGCAGGGCTTAGGCCAAGGAGCCTTGCTTGTCTCTCAGCCAACTGTAAGGCGTCCAGGCTATCGTCGTTACAAATATTTGATGGTTAATGAAGTTATCTTCTTACTTCGAGCATAGATCCAACATTCACATTGTTTAGTGGGCTGGTTGGTTAGCAGATATATATTTTTTTTCATATAAATTGATAGTACAGGAAAGAACTTTTGATGTGAAAAAAATGTGGCTCTTTCATGCGGAAGCCGCAAAAGGGTAAGTGTACAATTTTCTCCAGTAAATGAAAAATGCAGGGTTCATCTCGACGATGTTCGAGGCATTGAAGTGCATTAATTTCAATTGAAGGACTTCAAATTTACACTTTCGTGCTATAGAGTTTGCAGTTTTTCTATGGTTTCGCAGCAACTCTTGGTCCTACTTCGTACTAGGCTCCTTAGAGTAACCGTTTTTCAAAACTTCATAAGTTGGGTACTTTTAACAAACTTAGCCGTTTCGTCAGAACAGACAATGACATACCGGCTAAAGTCCTCTTAAGTATTGTAGTGATGAAAAATATACCGTTTCTAAGGTTTAGCATTACGAAAAGAAGAGTAATTTCAAGGTACTCACTTCTCGGGTATTTCACCATCACAAAATTTAGCAGATCACTGAATGAAGCGTTTTGATATATAACAGTAATAAAACAATAAAAAGGTAGCTATCTATCATAAAACTAATTTAAAAGGAACTTTCAAAATAAAATCATACATCAAATTTGTAACAAATCTTTTATTTATGATTACCGCTACCCTTTCTAATAGTTTTAATAAGAGCAGAGATGGAAATATTTACACGGTAATTATAATGGTTGTATTTTGCATTTATATAATATGGCCAGTTTTCTGCAATGAACTCCTATAGCAAACGTAAAACCTGAACCATAATTATTACTTCTGTAACGGAATTCAAAATAAGAGTTGTACTTCAAAATTTGAATAAAATTAGATCTATCTTCATTCATTTTAATTTTCGAAATTATCAATTTTGTGTGTCCCCATCGTCGACCTTGCGAGGAGGCTCACAAAGTGCGTCGCATTGAAACGTCCGTTATCAAAACGAAGTCGTGAGCATCAGCATAAATATACTTATACACATTATATACGCCGAATTTTTATAATACGATTCTATAATACGATTTCGCGATTACCGAATATAGCGACACGAAGTTTTATTGTCCATTTTGCGAACCCTCTTCCCTACACATAAGTAGTTCCTAAAAGTAAGTTAAATCGGAGCTTAAAATATGTATGAGACCTTTGTTTTGACTTTATAGGCTACTATCTTCAGATCGATTAGGTCAGCCAATTCTTAGTTAGTGACGCAAACAACCTGTAAATAGTTTGCTTCTGCGTATCCTATATTTGCTGTCTACGAGAAGCTGAAGTATGAACTGAGTAAATAATTCAATGACTAATCTTTTGGCCAAAAATATGCTCGCTTCTATTAGCAGCGTCAACATATATCCTGTTCGATGAGCACGTTTATATAATGCAGTGTATATGCTCATGAATGTAGGCGAGCATTGCTGTTATATTTTTTAAATGAGAATTGGCTTATCTAATAATCAGATTTATTTTTACATAGTTCGTGTAAATATGTTAACTTATAAGCTAATCTATATTAGGAAAACAATGTCTAAGCGTTGCACACGAATGCTCTGATTTGCAATTGAGCACGCCATTACCGTTCGGACATTTGCGAGCAGTCTATAATAAAAGGTTTCTATAATTATTATTATATTTATTCATTAAAGGACTTGTAGATAAATGTGAATTCCAGCCGATGTGAACAGAAAACGGGTACTTGAACTTGGCTAGTCCCTGTCCACGCAGTACATTCACAGATAATCGCTCATTACTCATTTACCCACTGCACGGTTTAAATAAATGTATTTGTTCTCAGGTTCATTCTGTTTTCAGTGGTCCATATAATAGTATTAACATAGTGTAACGGCTACGGTTTGTATGGCCACAGAAGTTATTTGCGAAGACTAAGTAAAACAAGAAACGAGTCACCATCAGTACAACAATAGCAAAAAACTATTAAAAATATTGGAACCGATTAGGGTAAATTACCTGGTAATCGTAAAAAGGCACTGAAGAATAAAAAACTGCAAAATTGTTTGTATGTTTTTTAAAGTTTATGCGGATAATTCTAAACTTAGAAAGTAGGAGGCCTTCACAAAACAATTTACAAGGTCTTAAAATAGTCTCGAAAAAAGAAAGGCCTATATCAGCTCATAAATATGTAAAAACCCAAGCCATGACTTCGTCCTGTGATAAGCGGCGAACCGCTAAGCAAATTTGTCGAATGTACGCATAATCTGCATGTAACCGTAATAACCCTTTATATTTATTTTTGATATTCATACTACAAGCACAATGATTTTTCTCTTTTTTATGCAGTACCCTTCTCCCGTGTTTTTTAATTGAATCTCACCTATCTTACCATCTAAATGATTCTTGTTTTATTTGCACCGACTTTAGTGGTGATGTGTGGCGATCGGACCCGAGCAAACATATCGTTACAGTTGGGGGGCTCCAATTATATTTTTATGTTTGAATGGAAAGCACGAGATCTGATCGTTTCAAATCAAAACGTAGATACCTAAAAAGACTAGATACGTATGCGTGGTCCGTGCTTCTTCATTATACTGTGCTTTTAGCTTTTTTTTTTATTTTTTATGCATATCTGTACGTTATACACTTTAGCCTTTTCCATTTGTTACGACAGATTGTAGTCTTTCCACGCACACACATTCACTGGTACCAAAAATTGGAGCGCGTATCTGAGTTACAAACACGAAGACTGCATTTTGCGTATTTCTTGTATTAAAAAAATTACTGTCTTTTCCGCACATATTTTCGCAGTATTTCTCTTTTAAGTTACTATTTTGGAACTTCCTTATCAATAGCCGACGTATCCTCAGGCGGCAGTCAAAGGTTGGCAGGAAATGATGTTGACTTACTATGCAGCCACATAAAACCTGTTCAAATCGGACCGCCAAAAGTTCCGTCCGTCAGGGTAAAAGCAGCTGTAATGATGAGGTTACAAGACAGAAGAACTTATCTGTAACACGTCGTGCTTTCTTTTTCTATCCAGCACTCGTTTTTGTTAAATACATTACAAAGAAGAGTTAATCTATTGCTTTGTAGAGAAATTATATATAGCTCAGGTCCTATATTCTAAACTTCCTGACAGCCTTTTTAATAAACCTGATTAGCGTGGTTAGCTAATAGGTACGCGTTATCTTCTTTAAGTAATTACATTCTCCCCAGCACCGCAGACCCAATTTTCAACAGGAAGACTCCTTTTTTGTGCCACACTGTACACAGTGGAAGGACCACTACCCTTTCTAGACAAATGCATGATTACGGAAATTTTCTCATATTTTAGTCACACCACATTAATGAGTCACGAGAAACTGTTTCTAGTTCTCCCAGATCGTTCACAATAATTTGTTCCATAATGTTTACCATAATAAAGCTAAGATGTGATATTAATCAGTACTAACCTACTCTTCATGGAAAAGTCGTCATCGAAAAGATTTAGTAATTTTGCCCCATTGTTCATTTACATTTAACATAGATATTATAATGACAACTGCATGTCGCACCGTATAACAGCGTTAAATTTGGTATTTCGGTCTATAGTAGAACGTATTACATTTAAGCGAAGGATTTAATTGTAGGAAAGGATTGAAAACTTGCAAATATGTTGCTTACAGTATTTCACTAAACTCTATATAAATAATATGTGAAAAAACCGATGAAAATATAGTGGCCAGAAAGTATCATCAAAGGGGCTCCGTCTTACGACGTAACTATGATCGCCACCTTGTGTTTTTAATGAAAAACCATTTTGCAAAATTGCATGAAGGCAGGAATGCGCATACAATACCTGAGATATTTTCCTATTCAAATTAAGCATATAGCATTTAAATTTGTCAATATGCTTCCTCAGTTCGGGTTCTTAAAAGTTCATCCGGTAACTGGTAGCAAACAATAAATGACATCGTAAAACCTTCAATTCATGCTAGTCGGGCACAACGGCCCGTAAAATAACCATCGAAGAAAAAATGAGATTCTCTAGGGATGGTCTATGAAGGTAGAAAGAAAAAGAGTGCTTTAAATGACACAAGCGATTAACAACAATAATAATAAGAGTAATATCTATAACAATGACTGCAATTCATCAGGTTTTACCGACATTAACCCTCGTTATTTTAAGGAGGGAGAATAAGATCATTAGTAAATTCTACAAGTTAAATAAACGCCAGTCGAATAAAACGGTAACTAGAAATATACACAAAAAGAAATAACCAAAAGGATATATCACATCATTTTCTCTAAATCAAAGTACGTTTATTCTCTAACTATATAGAGCGTCAAAGTTCAGGTGCTGATGAAGTATATTTGTGAGAAACGTCGAAAATATATCTAAAAATATCCTGAAAAATCGCACTAAGAAAATGGGCGTAAATTCCCAGCTAGTCAGGCCAAGTAAAAAGTAATTTTTATTTCGAAGCGATATGTGCTGCGTGCTATAGAATTTTATCTGTATGTAATCACATGATGCTGTTTAGAGCTATTCTTATAGATATTATTGAAAAACTTATTGATCAAAAAATATGTTTCCTAATTGTTTTGCTATTATTTAAAAACATAGAGATTGATCAATAAATTTTTCATCCCTCTGGCTGCTCATGTTTAGCCGAATGATAAAATACATAAGAGAACTGTCTTCTGAAAAAAGAAAACGACAAAGATTAATATTTTTTGTATAGACATATTTTCATATTAATTTACATGCAGTATGCGAAAAAGGCATTTTGTTGTTGGTAACTAGAACAGAGTTACATTCACAGCAATAGTGTTAAATGTCGACGTCTAGTCATCGATAGCGTCACTTAGTTGATTGAATATACGATTCTGTCAGAACCCTTTTGAAAATTCTTTGTTTCTGTTCAATAGCAGCGTACGACTTTCTGTCGCTGCAATTTTTCCCTTTCAAGATTCAGCAATTTTTCATAGTACATACTTCGTACATATGTTTATATATTTATCATGCTGCTATGCAATGTTGCGAAAAATTAATTTTCCAGATCCCTTCGTGCGTTACATACTGAACCGCCTTGTTTGCCTCTTCCTAACTTATGTTGTCCGCTTCTTCTTGCCTGTCATTATCTGTTCTACACAACACATATATATATATATATATATATATACTATGCGACGCCTTTCGTACACACCCCAGCGTCTCCTTATCTCCTTGGCCACAATTTACCTACGCATGAATCCCTACGCATATCTTCTGGCCTTCTCGACCCTATTTGCATTTATAATTAGTATTAACGACCAGTTATTGATTCTGGCGGTCCTTTTCGGGTTTTCTTATTTTTCCTTCACGAATGTTTTCATATCTATATGTAAATGATGTTTCAACGTACAGCGATCATGAACATGCGTGTTCCTCTTTCTCCGTCTGCACCGCTCGTCTCGTGTTGTATGTATTAGCTAGAAGCCAATAACTTATCCAATAATAATATATGTGGTGATTGATGTCTAAGATGATGCGGAATACTACAAGAACCCACCCGGGTCCGTCGACGACGTAGCTTCTCAACATCCAATTGCTTCGTCGATCAGCCCTATATAACCACACCATTTGTATTAGAATATATAGCACTATAATTTGTACAGAGTTTTCGTATGCTGTTCTGAGCGTAGCTCATGTACGACAGGTGTTTAAAAGCGAGGCCATTGCAGAACAGTATTTATTAGCCGGTTTTTGATGTCCTTTTCAAGGCGTAGGAAATAATTTACACAATCGCACACTGACAATGCGCACAGAAAAGTACACATTGATTATTGTGAGGCTGGCGGGAGTTTGGAGTTCGATAGTTAAGAGTAATGTAATAATGAATTTTCATAAAGTAAATGTATTACTCAAGGTTCAGCGACTGAGCTTATGATAATTTCTGCAATTATAATCTGATTCGGCCCTAACGCTTGGGGCCATATCGGCATAATTTCAATGTATTTATAGTTTTACCTTTTTTAACATATATTCCCGATTCAGACCCACATATAATCTACTTTTCAGAGGAAGTCGCATGGAATTACCGGCGGCTTTCTCTCTTGCACCGAACGCCTTAAGGTTCCGGCTCAAAACACCACATTTTTTTCTTTCTTTCTGTGTGGTCGCAAATTGAACGGAAATTGGCTGTAAAATGGTACAAGCGCAGAAAAGTCATGACATGCATGTGAAGTACCTCGAATCGTTGCCGGCGTTGCTTTTTTTTACTCTATGTAGTTGCTACCATACACCCCGTTGAGGCTGGCTAATTCTGCTAACAGTCGCTTGCTGTTCAATTGAACGTCTATCATTCAATTCTTTCAATTTCCGCCAAGGTGAAATTCATCTCCTGAGCACAATTTATGCGTGCGAAATCGCACACTAAACTATTATTATTATAATTATTTCTTAATTTTCACGTAGACAGCAGCCGCGTCGTGTTCACCATAGCCGTAACGGCGTGCATTTTCGAAATGAGTTGATGCGGCCGCCGTAACGGCAAGAGGCAGCTCACAGTCGTGACCAACATCCAATGCCAATCGAAGATCCTTTTGGACGTGGGCCAAAGGCGTTTCCAGCGTATATTTGCCGTCCAGAATCGTACTGAAAGATATACAAGGAAACTACTTAGTTAAAACACTGAGTAGATGCTTTTCTAGGATCGTTTCTAATAGCTTTTGTTGCGCAACTTCCACTTTGTATTATTACATTTACCTCTTAGAGAAAAAACTGAGTTTTCACCTTGTGCCAACTACGAATAGGTACCATCGATAACACAGATGGATCGAGGCATCCAACCAACCTGCACTTGTCGAGTAGAAAAGGTGACGCCAACTTCGTAGCACTGAGAGCGTCAACAAAGTCCTTATGTGACATTTCACTTGCTTCCACAAGTGCCATGGCTTCAGCGAGGGCTGCCGAAGTAGCACCGTACAATAGCGACAGAGCTAAATTCATTTTAGCAGCATTACCCACATTTTCGCCAAGATACATACACTGTACCGAAATAGCGGTGAATACTGAGTCGCAATCATCGAACAGGGATTTATCGCCACACGCGGTGATCGTAAGTTGTCCCTACAAACACATAAAATATATAATATCAATAAGTAAAAATTGATGCTGATGGAGTAACTTGTGTCTTACGCATGTTTAAGGTTGTTTTTACAAAAAAGATATTTCTGGAAATCATACTCACACTAAAATATGGTATTGTCCACGCCGAGTTACATTAAGTCCTTTTTATAAGCATTAATTTCGTAAGTGGTTTACTTGTGATCATCAATAGATTACCACACCAAACTAATTTTTATAATAATAATAATGTTTATTCCTGTCTGTCTTACCTGGTGTGCGAGTGTACGGGAGCCAACGAAAGGCGCTTCCAGGTAACGACCTCCTCGGGCTACAATAGCTTCGGCAAGATCTCGCGACGTCTCCGGATCGATTGAAGACATTTCCACATATCCTTTGCCATTCTTCATCTCCGAAATGACGCCATAGTTGCCAAACACCTACGAACCGTATGCACAAAGAACTACTTAGTAAGTACTCAATACGAACTGCGTTTAACCAAAAAATTTAGCAGCGAAAAGTTAACTGGTCTTTTTGTTATAATAAGCATGGCTTAATCTAGCAACTTACGATGTCCCGACAGGCATCCGGAGTGGCTAAACAGGAGAAGATAATGTCGCATTCAGACACAACATCGCCAGGCGTGATGCGTTTTTCTGCTCCAGCCTTTGCAAACTCCTTAATTTTGCTTGAAGTGCGATTCCATAACACCACCTAACGTTAAAAACAAAACAAAAGAAAGTTAGCATAGGCATACCATAATCACTTTTTCGACGAAAGTCACTCTTTACAGGCAACAGAGATGCAGAGTTTAAATTTAGATAAACCATGCACATGGCACCAATTGCACTCACCTGATGCCCACTATGCAGAAGGTTTTTGACAAGTCCTTGCCCAATATTTCCTAACCCCAGAACTCCGACTTTGAGGCCCTGAGTGGCGTTCACTTTCTTCAGTTTCAGCACATCGCTCACCTAAGACAACAAGCGCGAGAAAAATACCATATTATATTAAATAGGCAGCAGTAGACAGTTGAAACCTTTTTTACTACTTCTCTTCATTAGAATCAAATGGGGCGACAAGATAAGGCAATTATTTGTCGTAGCGGTAACACTGACTGGTCACGGCAACTTGAAGAAAAAAACTGCGCATCCTTTTACTACTATCAAACCCGTGCTTGAAGAGGCGAGTTGAGTAATTCGCTAACAATATGTGAAAAGAACGACTTTAAGTCGGATGTCTGCATTTCATGAATCAGAAACATCTATACTCTTCAAGAGATAACAGACGAAAAGCGTTCCTTTTATTGAATTGAATGAGATTATACAAATAATGAAATAAAGCTTTAACAACATTGTTTGCAATAACGGGAACGGAACGTCTAAGCGCAGAATTGAACGTTATCTTTAAATATGGACGTAATATTTAAATTGAAATTGGACCAAGTTATGACTTCAGAAAAAGCTAGCAGTTGAATTCCTAGCGAACTGGTAAGAAATACTTATGAAAGATGGCAAGACTCTGTGTCGATCTGTAGAAGCAGAGTTATTGATCTGCCTTATTTATAATAATTTCCTAAATATTCAGAGTAGGATACTTCTCGCTTGTGTACGTGCAGACCTTTACTGATTTCACCCTTCGTCGCTATTGCAACTTCCAAGCGTGCTTTCGACTTATAAACTCAAGCATGTGTAACCAGCAGAAAAGATTGCAGAGTTTCTCTGTATTTCATGTATGTAATATTAGACCCTATATACAATGAGAAATCTGAACTATTTTAAGTGAAAGGACATTTCGTAAAGTTCAATCACGACGGTTGACCTCGTTAACATCGAAGGGAGGTGTAGCTGGCCGAGGAATATATTCTGTTGGTTTGCTTGCTGGAGCTTTAGGCACGACTGGAGCAGCTGAACTCTTTAGCAGGCTTGATGAGCCGTTCTCGCTACGCCGTTTCTTGATCACGGTCGGCGATTTTTTGAGATCAGATGCGGCTCCTTGTTCTTCGGTGGTATCCTCATCGAGATTGAGATCCGTTGTTCGTCCAGCACGATCGTCGTCAATCGAAGATGTTCTCTGTTTCGAAGGCCTACCTCTCTTTCCAGGCGTCTTCAAAAGGCTCGTAGACTTGCGTTTCGGAACCTATGGAATAGAAAAAATTCACTTGGATCACTTTCTTCTAATTCTTTACTGGGTTGCAAAGTTCGGCAACAAATTTAATCTATAATACACGAGGCAAAAAGACAATAAAAAGCCCGTGGCCTGCACCCGATATACAACAAAAATAGCGTCCAGTAGCATTTTCATGCAAACAATTGCATCAATAATAAGTACCGATGGTATGCACACTTCCTTCTGCACACTGATAAAAACAACAAATTATATCAATAAATATTACGCAAAGCGCCAAGCGTTCCCAACTGACATAACCAATATGCAAGGTTCTATCGAGTAACCTATTAATGCAATACTTGCACCTACCCCAGAAGGTTTATCGTCCCTATCGCGTACTTCAATTACTGATAAGTCTACTGAATCTACACCAGACTCTGCTTCATCATCCCTTGATTCATCGTCCTTCGAATCATCGCCGTCTGGAGTCTCCTGAGGTAATTTGATGTCGTTCTTTCCAAGCTTTATCCAGTCCTCAAAGTATTGTGCGATCTGGTCAACTGCATCTCTGAACTTTTGTCCTTTTGGACCTGACTTAATGAGTTTTTCATCTTCTTCAGTTTTAATGCCATACCTAAAAAGGCGAGTGTTAAATTTTTAGAACAAAGTTCCAAGAAAGTCATATTCAATTATAATAATAAAACTTATTTACTATTATTATGCAGACCAATTAACTCATTAATGGGAAATAACAGAAGTCTCAGAATTAATTTTTTATACGCACTGAATAACGTTTTCTGCAGGAATCCAAGAGTAGTTGAATGTGCCAAAGAAAAAGACGCAATAATTCTTTTTATTCCGTGGCGGATCCTTAAGATCTCTCGTTGGAGCCGCGATCTTACCAGGCCATGGTTTGTACCCCTTCATACGCGCCCATATTGGCTCACCGACCTGAAACAACAGAGGCTTTACAATTACGTTAACGCTTTCTATTATGTACGCCATGCCGAGTCGACCAGGCGTTTAACAATATATTGGTGGCAGCAGGCGAAGACAACATATCCTACAACGCTACATGGTTGATATATGAAACATTAAAACGTTTTTAATCTATATTTCATTGACAATCATATGTAAAAGTAACTCGTAAAGCATCAAAATAATCCAGCTTCCAGATGACTTTTATGTCTTTGCACCCTGGAAAAATCTTGACAGCAAAAACAAGAGAAGATCCATTTGTTTAAGAATACGTTAGCTAGTAAATATTGCGATACCGCACGCAGTTAAATTGTTGCGTTCAGAGAAAAACATTTAAAAACCGCCATCTAAGAGCGATTTTTGTTATTGTTGACGTAAACTCATATTTCACTCCCGTAGCACTAACGACGAACTCGAATCTATCATGACATGACACATCGATCAAATAGTGAGTGCAAAAAATGCCATACATTTGACCAATGCAGTTTGCCCTTGGCAAATTTACCTGCGGGTACAGATCACTCAGGTACTCGATCGCATTTATACTAAAGTACAAATTTTTAACTAAAAAATTAAATGTGTTGGGTGGCAAATTCCCACCGACATTAGGGTACTACTTTTTCAAAACTGAACTCTCCCGGATACACAATCTTCTAATCATTAATTTACTACCTGACACACAAACTTAGTTTGTAAGACTTAAGCTTTAACAGTTTAAAAAAATAATAAATAGCCTGGTAAATTTCATAGCACGGCGATAAAATGTACTAAATACAACGAAAAATCCTTTTCAATACTGGGAACCAATATTCTGAGGTACTGCTAGACTCAGTTCGTTGTTTAGACATCCACTGTAATCCGTTATCGACTGCGTTACGATTTCTAGTAATAAAGTAGAAGACTGATGCTAGCCAAATGCAGTAGTAAGCTACAGGCAGAAAACTTAATTTTTCTTTTGTTCTGACAACACCAATCAACAACCGACGTTTTCAAATAATCATGTTGTATGAAAGTTGGATTTCTAACCTCCAGAAAATTATGGAACAATTACCCCTAGCCCGCACCAAAAACTAACCCCTTAACAGACTCTCAGTAATCTGTACAGGTAGCACCATCATAAAAGAAACATCGGACCGACAGAAAGGACGACACACCAACAATAGCTGCTGGTAGAACAGAACAACTATTTGTGCTCGGATTACGTTTAGCAAGTGCGCTAGACAAGAGCACACAAACAAGCACGCATATACACAAATTTTCCGTCTTTTCTTGTTTAGACTAAACGAAAGAGACGCGTCTGTATTTTCCTCCATTAGACAGCTCGCCTTCTGTGCGGATGTTTCAGTTCAACTTCGCTCACAAATCGTATAATGTGCGAATTTCGACGTTTTCTAGACAAAACGTACACTACCGCTGACGCCAAAACACGCACCGAATACTCCGACATCTCTACCACAGGAGTAGTACTGTTCGAGCACGTCAACGGCGAAGAGAGGTGATACGGTGCTGCTCTCAGTCAAACACAGGCAGGCAGGCAGGCAGCCAGCCAGCCAGCTTCGTCAGACTTTGTATACACTGTCTTCTGTCTACACTGACCGCCGCAGCAGCAGTAGCATGCTTTCGGACCTGGCTGAAAACACCGGTTCTAAATACACACAGACTCAACTCAACGAAGGCAGACCGGTGGCCTCCGTTGGCGGACAACCTGGCCGGCTCGCTGCTAGCCTGCTACTAACAGCATTGGGCGCCTCACTTTGAAACAAAGTCGTCGACTAGCGCAGCCTGACCGTCAAAGGGCTATCGCCAGGACACAACTTTTCGGTGAACCTTACGCTATCGTTTAGTCACAGTAAAACCGCCAAAATCAGTCTAAATCTAGGGGAAAAGATCACTAAAAACTTGCTCAGCTCACCGATCTCTGCTCCGCCGCCATCTTGTTGTGACTGTGGCTTTTGGAGCGCAAATATGCGCGTGGTGCGATTTCTCGTCGGCTAACCAAGAGGCGCGCTTCGAATCGTACCACAAACGTATCACGTTTGTGCCACAAAATTGGCGCTCAAAACAACATAAGAAAAATGTATGTAGGCGCTAGGTGCCTGCGGCAACGGCACAGTGAGTTCACGACGAGCTGGCGTCGATGTGCGATATAGGCAGAGATGGAACCGAGTACCGGGGGGGTACACAGGAAACTGGCACCACAGCTGAGTTTGGCAGCGAATCGTATTGGGGGCAAACGTCGATACAATTAACATGCTGGGGAAGTTTTATGGTAAGTTATTTTAGAAACTTGAATACGAGCAAGATGTTCGAGTATCTATAGGCATCGCTCGGATTTTTATCAGGCTAGTTGCACTAAGCCGTAGACAATCAATCGGGAGAGATTCATCGTTTAAGCCGTTTTAATGGTACCAGAGCTCTGCCTTCATGGAGAAATTACAATACAGGTTTAGTAGAGGTTTCATCAGCTGTAAGTCACTATTGTAATCAGATATATTAGATCGTTCAAAGGAAAATGTGACACTCGTTATTCTCATACATAAAAACACCATATTCTCATATACGGCGTAATCTTATAATAATGCAACGCTTTGCGGCACTTGTTTTTTTGTTTTCGAAGTACACTTGTACTTGTTGAAATCTGACCCTATTCCCTCCGGCTCTAAACAAGCAAGTTGTAGTGAGCCGTAGAAATCAGAAATTTGAGTTGTGTATAAATATAAGTCTCATCTTGGGACCACAGAGGCTCAGACAGGCGCTGTATAGACCTTGTACTTCTGTAGGATCTACCACTAAAAGCGCCGTGCTGGGTTAAGAAACTCTAAAAAGAAAATTCTGAGCTCAAAACTGAATATCGTAGAATACCTTCGAAAGAAAATAACGACAAGCTGAAAGTAGTGATAGAAGGATACTAGTTTGAGAATATACGCGTGTTAACACTCCGGCTGACTGCACGTAACAATACTACGTTTATTTACCCCGCTCAGACTGTTAGGCAAAATTAAGCAAGTAGGTAGGTACTCGAATTTGAGTTGGGATTATATACAAGAACGCTTACTACTTGTTGTTATTATATTACAAGAGTTACCCATTTTTACATCGAATCTGTGATTAAAAAAAAAATAGATCTGTTACGGTAGTCGCAGATCGGTCACATCATTCTATCGGTACAACTGAACTAATGGGACATTTCTTCGAAGCAAATGCACAGCTGCAAATGCTCATGGTGTAGTGTAATGCAGGCGTTGCAGCTTCATAAATCCTTCATTTTTCGATTATGAATGAAGCGTGTTAATAATTGGAAGAAATGATCAACATGTTCCGCATTAACCAGCTAAAGTTAGTGATCATAGGTAAATCATTCCGATTGAATGGCAACGTACTACTTCATATCGCCAAAAACAAAATGGCAAAAATGCGAGAGTTACAGTTAGAGATTCCCTGTTACCCGCCACACCATTAGATATTACTTCCATAGATTAGTACGTTTTTAAAATCTCGACGATTTATTAAATTGAAAAATTGTTTAGGCCTCATCATCATATCGAAATTGCCTTTTGAGCGTGTGATAGACCTTCGTACCCCATTCTTGTACAGCAGTTAGCTAAGCAAGTTATCATAAAAATGACAGGATGTCATAAATAGCAACGGCGCTTATTTCGATTAAGAATAGGAAAGCTATTTGCGAGAAGCGTTGCAATTAAGTTCACTATGTCGCATTTTATGCAGAACGACCCAATATAAGACCAAACAACCTACGTGATATGAATTAACTGAGCATTTAATTTGCTCATTACACTGCAGTCAACGAGAACGCGTGCGTTTAAGGATTTCGCAATAGAAAAATCTGTGAATGACCGTTCTCAAAACGCACGAGCGTTGTAGAGTAGATTCAGGTCCTTAGATACGTGTTTGGCCCATCGCGATACACTAACGCGAGTTGCACTTATAATATGGTGAAATTGTGCGTGCTTCTGAATAAGCAGATAAGCCTTATCCAGTAAGGGAAGAATGAGTTGTAAACGAACATATATCGAAACATCGAAAAACAACCGCACGGTTGCCAAGGAGATAAAATGCGAAACAGAATCTCAAGTTATGTGCACTTTGTATATGGCTGCAGTCATCCTTGTTTGCTCTAGATACGTGCAATGGTACATGTGGATTATTTATTTTTCTATTCTAACACAGTGCGTGAGTCGTTGCGAACTTACCACAACATTAAAAGACGATCTAACAAATGCTACATTTGTAAAAACTTTGAACTTCTTTAGACATGCGCATTCAGTAAATTACCAGTTGCAAGACGCAACTTTTTGTTAAGTATGCATCGTGCATGCAAGTAATTAAAAAAGCATTAGTGGCGCTTGTTTCTAAACATAATTGCTAGCTAGTAGATAAAACAGCACTTTAGGGTTAGATAAGCCATATCTTTATTAACTATATATTTATTAATACATATCTGTAATTATTTAGGGTGTGGCTTTACACAGTGTGAGTATATTTTATTCATATTTGTATATTCATATCGATTTGTGTATATATATGTGGAATTCAGGGTTTGTTCGTTCCAGCTTGTGTATGTATAGAATAGCTTTGTATACAAGTAGACAAATATGCAACTAAAGAAGTGTATTACGGTATAAATAGCATACAATTTCGAAGCGTGTGACCTTTGTGTTAGCATAGTCATCTATCAGGTGCAGTAACTTTTCTTTTGGAAGACCGAGTGGGATGAGGATTATTCTTAGAAACAATTACATTGTCATATTCTTCCTTGCCGACTAATACGTATATGTGAATACTACTATTTACATATATTCTCACCAGAACACAAATAAGCTTTTTCAACATCTTTGGCGTCTTTCATAGGATCCAACAAGTTCATTTCTATTAACTACATTCATTATTTATTTGTCTTATTTTCCTATGGCATTGGCCTGCTCGTCTAGTGAATAGTAGTAAAATCGGAAGAAAAGTATTGTTACCGACGGTAAGAAACAGTGTACTCACTTTGCTTAACTCGCACTCTTTATAACACTACAGAAAAAAAATTAACTAGGTATAGTCCTTGTTAGACAACAGTTGCATTCCAAGTTAACTTCAAACGCATCAGTACGAAAGCACGTTTCGACTAATTAGTCGAAATTCCAGTATTCACATATATAGATTATACTAATGCTGCTACAAAGCCGACAAATAGATTTTTGCTGATGAGGTTCTGTCCTGTTTGATGCCACATGGCTGTTTTGAAATTGAGACTATGGATTGATCATAGCCAGAACGATTAAAATATGATAGTTGTTTGTTTAGTCAACAACTGAATTCCCATTGTAATTTATACTTCATTTTCTGTAGCATTACCGGTGTCTAGGGGACGATGTAAACGTTAACGTAACTATTTCGTTAACGAAAAAAATGCCGTCAATGGCACAAGCGAGAACAAAAAAAAACGACACTAAGAGCTCTGCTGGCCGGCCCGCTGATCATGATTTTCAATGAACAATATAATCCGCCAGTTTATTCGTCGGTACACATAGAGGCTCATGAACATCACATGTTCCGTGATAGACACGTGGATTTACGAATAATGACTGTTTATTATTCAAAATTGTGGTTTTGGTTTTGACGCTCTTAAGCGAGAACATCACCGGTTTAAAATAAAATATGTCTCAAAGCAAGTGGGGAAAAATAAGATTGCCTCTTAAAACTTCACCATAAAGAATTTAAAATGTTTTGTAAAAAACGGAGATCGACTTTCCTACCGCTTGGTCAACTTCTCATGTTATCCCACTTCACAAATATGATTAGTTTATAATTATTGTCACATAATTTCGTCGATTATACATTATTCAACTATATTTATTATTATTATTATTGTTAAAAAAGGGGAGAAAGAGAAAATTATTATTATCTATCATACGTATCTTCTTTGCGTACATGTTCAGATTAAAATACTAGAAATACTTTTTCTCTTTTTTGGTTTTGCACATCTTATTATTACTACATATAATATATCAAATCACCTCCGACTGGTTCGTTTGTCGGTCGTTTTTCCCTGAGTGTAAAATCTTAATGGTAAGAATAAATATCTTTGACGTCGAAACTCTCCCTTAATAAATAATGGTAGTAATAATATTAGTTATAATAATAATTCTATTAGAGAACACGAACATCTTGCATAATAAAAATTCTCGAGCATTTAAAAATGATAATTTTTCTCGTCGTCAGGTCATCAAATGAGATCATCTTGGGCGCATAACTGCTTACCAAGGTCAATTTGCATTTAAGCTAGCTACCCCCAAAATGGCTAAAGACAGGCCAAATTGAGTCATAAGCTAAAATTTTGCAGCGAAGAGTACGTAACCACTAGGGGCCCATGATTTTTCAATCAACGGCAAAGGATCTGCAACTGCTATGCAGAGTATTCAACAACATCCATCTAAGTGTTTTTAATTGCCTCGGATTTTCTCAATGATTTTTTTTCATTCATTTATATAACTAGTACCGTGATTATGTTCTATTAGAACATGTTTCTTGTCTTTCGTTCCGCGCACATAAATTATCGACTACAGCCTAATCATTGGTTTTCCTATACGTTTTACGCTTCGTAGTGCGTAGGTCTTGTGATGAGTGAAACTCATTCTTCCTTTATACACGATTTTTACTATTTACTTCATCTAAATAAGGTCGGCAACGTTAGTAGGCATCTGCTCGACCTCGGTATTGTAAAACGACTCAATATCCTTAAGGATTCGCTTGTCGTCCTCAGTAATTAAATTGATTGCTACCCCTTTACGGCCAAAACGTCCTCCACGTCCGATTCTGTAATCAACAAGAAAAAAGCTTGTGCAATCACTAAAGTACGAATGAGGAAACTGTTGAGTAATATGATAACACAAATATTTTTCGCTGAGGGACATATATATACACGAGTATTATTGTGTAATGGTGATGAAACTAGAATGTACCTGTGGATGTAGTTTTCTCTGTTTGTGGGTAGATCAAAGTTAATTACAAGCGACACCTGTTGTACATCGATGCCTCGTGCAAGAAGATCTGTTGTGATCAGTACGCGAGACGAGCCGGACCTGCATTTGCAAAGATTTCAACAAATTGATTAACTAGTTATATGTCAGCGTTTTGTATACTATTTTTAGTTTTTACAGAATTATATTGATCATGGGATGCAATAAATAATCGATTGAAATGTAAAACGTTGTAAAAGAATTTTACAGTATTGAGCCAGAATGTTACCTGAAGGCTCTCATAATGACGTCACGTTCCTGCTGTGTCATGTCCCCATGCAAGGCGCTGACAGTGAAGTCGCGGTCCGTCATCTTTTCGGTTAGCCAATCGACCTTCCTCCTAAATACGGTCATCCGAATAATTCAGTATGCTTACTCCAATGTCGTAACCTAGCCATGTATTATAGTGTCGAAAGGCACATCATTTATTTAAGAACCTACAGTGACCTTTAAAAGATTCGACCAAACGATCCCTACCTGGTATTACAAAATATAACAGCCTGCGTAATAGTTAGCGTCTCGTAGAGATCGGTCAATGTATCAAACTTCCAGTCTTCTTTGTTCACGTCGACATAAAACTGTTTAATACCCTCTAGAGTAAGCTCTTCACGTTTCACAAGAATGCGGATAGGGTCACGCATGAAGCATTTTGTTACTTCTAAAACGTCTGCTGGCATTGTCGCTGATAGTAAGATTACCTGCGTACCAGATCAAACGCATTATAATTTTGAGTCTTTAACATGTAGCATATTTCACATATCGCATATACAACTAAAATATATGAAATATTGTAATAGTGGTTATATATCTATTATACAAGACATTTTTATCGAAGTATTCTGGATGCAGTATTTTTGACAAATATATATTCCATATATACTATAACAATTCACAAGATTGAGCTTTAATATATAATGTCAGTAAGCATGCCGTGAAAGGAAATTCGTAGTGGTTTTGATGACTTTATGTGATGTAGTCATATTATTTTTTGATAGATACAGACACCTTTTCAATCTAGTAAAATTAGTGTGTATATACATCTTTTTAAGTGCACTGGAGAAAACTTTTCCCCTAAAGCACGAATACCGCGTCATATGCGGCCGGTATTAACGGTTCTGTTACCTGTATATTGTGAGGCAGCAGTCTGAAGACGTCATGAATCTGATCCTTGAAGCCTCTTGAGAGCATTTCGTCAGCTTCGTCGAGCACAAACATCTTAATCTTATCTGCTCGGAGTGCCTGTCTTTGAATCATGTCATAGACACGACCTGGAGTCCCGACCACCACGTGAACGCCCTTTAATAGCGGTATCGCAGGAACAAGATCCTACATGTTTGCGTTTGATATACATAAATGCTTCACAAATACAACTATTTGTGAAATATCTATGTATATAAAAAGCATGACGACAATGTACGTATTTGTGTTGTAACCTATCGTGTTTGTACAAAGTTTGCAAAGCATGTCATTTCTGAAGACTTTAGAAAGCTTTTTATTTAATCGTTGTACTGTTTATTATGTAAGTGTGCCTTAAAATAGGTGTTAAGTACTTTTTCCAGTTTGCGCATATCTTCACGGACATTCGTGCCTCCGATGCAAGCATGACAGTTTGCACTCATGTAGTCGCCCAGCGCAATCACCACCTTTACATGTAGAAAACAGTTTATCACACAAACATGAGATGTAACAACTATCATAAGATAATTATTATATCCAATAGAATCATTATGACACATTTTATACTAATACTAATATACCAACAACGCAACAAGGAAGGACTAGAAATGACTGCTTCTTCTGTATTATCTATATACATGTAAAAGAGTTTACAGGAGCAATCAGGTAAGTGAGAGGTGTGACAGGCTAGGTTTTTGTTGCCTGCAAAGCTTCATTTTACTCGAACAAAGTCGTAATTTTCGGGATATGTAGTTTTTTTTTGTATTTCACCCTTTACGTTGAAGCACTTCGTGATATTTAGAAAAATTGTTTTTCTGATGAAAAATGAAAATTAATTGTGATTATCGTATACCTTTTGTATTTGCTGAGCGAGTTCTCGAGTAGGTGCAAGTATTAAAGCCTGACACTGAGGCTCAGCTACATCAATTTGTTGAAGAATGGAGATAGAAAATGTCGCAGTTTTTCCGGTTCCTAAAATATAAAGCAGGGGATGGTAAAAAGATGGATGAATGATGAAGCATTTTATTTACGCATGTTTACACAATACGAAATGGGCAGTATGAAGTAAATGTAAATAAGTACATTTCGTGCATTTGTCACAGTGTTAGCATTAAAAAGAAGCGCTGTCTTCAAATACAATCAATGCATTTATGGACGATAACAGTTGACGATACATCGCTACGCTTTTAAGTTAAAGGGTCTTTCTTATCGATAGCAGGCCGAAATGCAAATAGAAATCCTTCCCATACGCCGCTAGACTTAAACTATACCTTCGAAATATTTGATTCCGGGATATTTCGTTAAACATCAAATTTCAGCTTTTCACAGCCTAGGAGTGTACATGCCATAGCAAAAGCATACCAGGCGACAAAGGTTACTTGATCCAGTTATGTGCTTATGACATTTTTGTAAGCTTTACCAGATTGCGCTTGAGCGATAACGTCTCTCCCTTTTACACAAGGCAGAATTGCCCTCTGTTGAATGGCCGACGGACGTTCGAAACCGTAGGCGTAGATACCCCGTAGTAGCTCTTCGCGAAGGCACATGTCATCAAATGAAGATACAACCTCATCATAGTTGCTCTGTGCAAAAGCAGAGACCAAAAGAAATAGCATACGTTCAAATAAACCACACTCTTTTCTATCGACATGTCTGCTTTACGTGCGCCGTATTACACTATAGTCATACCTAAAAATGGCACAAGTAAAACAATTAAACACCATGCTCCTAATTTAGTTTAGTTTTAGCGTTAAAGACAATGTATATGGTCGAGCACATCGAAAAAAAGCTAGATTAATCAATTACCTCGATGACGCCATCGGGTTCCATTCCAGGAACTCCCGCGGCTTCGCGTTCTGTAGGCTCTGCGTCCCATTCTGTCGATGTCCTTCAGGTTGCAAAATATGATGAATAATTCTTTTTATCTGTATTTGGATAAACTACATGGATCATAAGTCTATATAATAGGACTTCCGACATATTAAAAATAAAAGTATCTCAGGAAAAGTTTAGAGCTATTCCACTTGCGTGTTTAGAAAGGATGTTCATTTGAAGCATTGCTGAACTGCAGCACTAAATGTAAAACTCATTTATTTATTTATATTTATATTTAGATCTATATTATTGGACTAATTCATATTTGACTGTTGACGTACAACCTGGGTTATTCACAACTTGGGTCGAGTGATGAAATTACGAAAAAGATTACCATGTCACATGTGATCCCCAAAGAGTTAATAGCCTTATATTTTAAGGAAAAGAATTTTATATTTTCTAAGTTTAAAAGCATTAGTTAACTAATGTTTTCTTAGTATATCTTTGTAATTTTAGTATAACTAGTTGCTTTTCCTCAAATATAAACGTATTGGCTGCTATTTTACGATCATCTATAATTATATTTTTACGTGTAATTTATACGTAAAATGTTCGTTTATCAGTGAGAAATATTCTCTCTCGATGGCATCTTATATATTAAAGGTCTTTTTCACTTTTTGTTAAATCGAAGATAATAATTAAGTTAATTGATTCACATTTACAAAGTGTTTAGGAGTACTTATTTATGTGCCTTCCTCATATTCTGCCAAATTCCAAGAAATGTTTTTCTACTCTAAGTTAACTATTATACGTTATCATCATTCTATCTCTAACAAAATACTATACATTAATATTTAATTAAGATGCTCGACAGCCGATATATAACAATGGTACACTCTACACTGTGCTATTAATACCAAAGAGCAGTTGTTATCTATTCGTCGCATCTTACATTTCACTGTAGTTCAGCGGAGAGGAGGATCGTGAGGTGGCCGATATCTGCTCAGTAAAGACAGTTAATAGAAATAGCCTTATAAGAGAAAGTAGACTCTTGTTGGTCTTGCTTGAAGCACTAATCTTCCACGCAAATAGGTGTCAAAGCACACAATGTAGCAGGAAATAGACACAAAAGTGCCTTTGTGTATATATATGTCCTGATATATCAGAATGACAGTTGCGTGTTGTGCGCGATACGCTTAACCAGCCGCAGATGGCTGTTGTTTTTTTTTTGACTAGTCGCTTGTGTTTGCTTACCCGCTATAAACATGCGACGGCCGTTCATGTAACTCATCGGAATCACATAGAGATCAGTGGGCACTCTTTAGGCGGGCGATTTGCGAAGACGCCTTACCTATTAATGGTCTGTTAGAGAGTAAAAAACATGTCGCCGTTCAAAGTTGAAATACAGATTGTGTATCTGTTCGTCGATTTAACAACTATCGATACGCGCAATATAATACTGCTGAAATGAGATCGGAGGCAGAAGAACATTGAAGGCTGATTGGGTTCATTCTGAAAAGCTAGATTCACAATTGAAATGGATGCTTATAAAACGATGAGGCTGTTTTTATAAATATAAACTTGTTCTTTTTTTTTGCGCATGAACCTACGTCTTGTCCTACTCCCATTTTGTTCTCTAGCTTGTCCAAGAATATAGCAAAAACTCTGGTGCTAGAAATAATTTCTTAGTCTAATTTCGAACTAATTGTGAGGCAATAATGCAAACTGGATCACATGATTAATGTTATTTTTCTAGCCGAGATGATAAGGTGATAATCGATTGCAATGCGTCTGAAATCGAGCTTATGACTGGCAGGGCAAAAGCTTGAATTTACTCTGAAAACTTTAAATGATATACGACTTTTCGAAAGCGTTTAGGTGATTGCGAAAAAAATACAAAAGCATGCGCTAGATGGACGTGCACGACACGGACAAAGGGAGGTAAAACGTTATCGGTTTATGATAACCATGCCGATTATTTTGACAAGACACCCTTTTTCCATTTAAAAAAAAAGCTGCTACTCCTCGAACCTTGAAAAAGATAAGAATGAAAATCAAATATTGTAAAACGATGTTTAAATTTAATTTGCCCTCCATTAAACCCGTATTTGAGCCAGTATTTTCTTTCTCTATTTTTCTAGAATTATTCCAAATTTTTTCCGAAATTTTGAAATTTAGAAATTTTAAAAGAATTTTATGGAAATAAAGCTGGGGATTGAAACTATAGCGCCACTAACTGCTGGGAACATCTCACAGCGCCATATGGTACCCAACGTTATTGTACGAATATATCATTTATCAATGATCATTGTCTGAACTTCGCATCCTGTTGCATTCGCAAGTTATTCAGAACGTAATGCATACCTAAAGGAAATTAAGCAAGCATTAATGGTTTCGGAGATATATGTGAATGCTTTATTTTTTATTAATTTTTGATTGTATAATCGAGCAGTGTGACGCGTATTTAAAAATAATTAAAAAGACAAAGAAAAATATTTTGGAGCATAAGAAATTCCTGAATGAGTGTTTCTCTTTTAATCAAAATTTAGTGTAACCTGAAAATGTGTTCTGATTATTTTTCGTCCGGACAAACATAAATCACGTTTGAAGCCTTCAAACCTTTTCAGTTTTATTATAGCACGGACATATGAGAAATCATATGCGATGTCCATATGCTATAAGTGAACTATGTTAAATTGAAAATAAGTTTGATGCACAAAAAAATAGTGGGTAAACAGATTTGGAAGAACTTTTTAAACTCAGAACAGAAGTTTAGTAACTTCCAACGATAATTCCTCCAGAAGGTTACAGAACCCTAAAGAAGCCTCGTTCCTGGGTAAAAATCTTTGTATAATTGTTTGGGCCGAACTTAGAGTCTGGTGGACGAAACCGCTCGATTGCGAACCACCGCTCACTCTGCACCATATTACGAACCACACATTTACACTGAAGTAAAACATAATAGATCCGACTTTATGGGCTCTAAAGTATTATCGAGGAAGTTATCAGGACAAGCTTAGCTAAACACCCTATTTGGATCTTGGGCACACATAAAAATATCTTCGCTGGATGGCACTTGATAGCATTTTACTAAAACTAAGAAATTGCAGTAAGTATGATACAACCCGCTTGCTTCCCATTCATTATAATATAAACAATAAACGATGATTATTAACATTTCATCTGCCCGCACACTATTGTAAAGCGGAATAAATATGCAAATATGCCATAATTAGGAGATATGTAGAAGCTAATGGAATGGCAATATAATAAAGTCATGCAAGTTATTTCTTTCCGTCATCAACAAACAGCAAGGAAGTTTATCCTGTCTTTAGGGTAACGTAGTGTTTGTTTACAAAACTTGGAATGTTTGTGCACTAAGCTTAAAACATGTGGAGTGGTCCGTGTTTGAAATCTGGCGAAGGTGAACGCGTTTTGCCAGCCCTTTGAAGCAGTGCTTAACGGCGATACTTTAAAACATTTATTTATGATGCCTTGTCATAGCGTTCGTGATACAGGGCTGTTTACTTTTTGTCACTCACAAAATATCACGATTTCTATAAAGTAACTAAAGATAATAGACGCAGTTTATCAGCGCTATGCCAACGATCTAATTTATAGCTATTCATAAAGATTAGAGCCGCATAAACTACCGTATGAAGAATATCGTACACTGGTGGCACCACACCTTTACTTGATTTTCGGATAGCAGTAAAGAAAGATCGTAGATTAAATTGTTAACCAGTTTGTCCACATTGGGTAGATCTATATTGATCGAGTCGCTCTTTCATAGGGCGTGACGTGAATGAAGCGGTTTTTTTTACATCAATTAAGACGGATCTGCGTAGCGGGCATTTAAAGCAACCCAAGAGCGCCGAACTTTTTATATTAATTAACCACAATTTTGCTATCCTTCGTCTAGCGTTTATCGATTTAATTTGTCTACGATAGACATGTAGATAGAGCGCGTCCAGATTCATTGTCTAAATTGTTTACGAGACAGTAATCCGGTTTTGTTAATTCAACATGGAGAACATTTGTGGAGTATTGAATGCGTTTAGCACACGCAGCATAGGAGTTCTATCTGTTTTGTTAGGTGCAAACTTCCTGCCATTGTTTTGCAAGCTTATAATCGACCAGCACCAATACCATCGCCAAAGGTCCACTCTGCCTATTTATGCCATGGTTAGATCATAGTGGAGAGTATAATCATGATCACTTAAGTCTTTCACTGGGAATTATATCAGAGACTGACGAACGTGCGTGTAGGCCCTACTCGTCCAGCTGTCCAGTTGTCTGCCGTAATGGCAACCCAACGGCAACAAATTATCGCTCGATAATTCGCTACTGTTGGGCTCGTTGTTGGGAAGTTCGATAAAGGATCTTTTTCTTTTCACTTTCTTTTTTCAAAGCATTTTCATAGCTATACTCCTCCATTGCATACGACTACTGGGTGAAACCTAGACTTTCTAATAGAGAATGTATGAAGCTGTCCAACAGGCCAGCTAATTCACATGAGCTAACATTGAAAAGCTTTTATTAGTCGATCGTAAATCTGTTGCTGTTTCATATTTAATAGAGAATCTTTTCCTGTAACACTGCTTTAAGATTGGATGTACTTTGGCCCTGTTGTTGCGTGTGCCTCTGTTTTACATAAAAACCATTGATTTCGTCGAAAAGTATTTTTGAATCGCTCTCAAAATTCATTAGGGCAATTAACACTGTAGTCTGCAACTGATTTGGAGTTTGTTGGGTAATCAGTGTGTGTCTGACTCTGCTCTGTGTATCTACTTCATTAAATTGCGTATTATCGGCGATTGCAATTCTTTATAAATTTTTCTATTGCAAGTCTTTCACCCTTCGACGTTGTAGGGATCAATTTAAATCAAATTAAGAGCCGCAATATTCAATCAAAGCGCGGATTTTATTACGAAAAATATTAGAGAAAATGCCAGGATCCTACGGGCCACAGTTACCGCGACCGTCCAAAACAATCATTATAATGGTGAAAGAAAATCGTATTCGGCAAAACCTCCTCTATAATGTGGCCTAAAAATTACGAAAGTTTACCAGTGCTTATCTTTAAGATGGACGCTTTTTTGACGATGCATTTGACGTACTTGTTTTTAGGTAAAGTACATTACATTTTTAGAACAAGATGCGTTAATGAATAAAACATTTTAACGTAATCGCAAGAGATAGAACAAATAATCACTGTCATTGTGGGGTCTATATTTTGGCCTGAAATAATAGTTTACCCTTTTTTCAGCTCAAACGCTGCTGCCGTTGGTTTGTGCGCGTATTCAATAGCTAAGTAATTATTTTGCACCACTTCGGTAGACTTCTTGGCCCGCGTTTCCATTACGTAGAATTCATTCACAGCCACACTTTGTGCATTATTTATGCGTTCAGAATTTTCATTGACTGGATAATAAATGAATTTATGTAGTAGTCCCCAATGCGATGTATTAGTAAGTGCCTTAAAGGGGTGCGACTATCATTGCCGTATAATACATGCTGAACTTATAATACTAGGGATCCAGCAGCGAGTTCTTCTTATTTAAAGCAACTGACAATCGCTTAACCTAACTTATTCAAACGATTTTTCTATTCATGCCCGTATTATACGTTTACCATTATTTAATTTATAGGGAGGCTTTGAGGTAAATCGTAGTCAATACAGCATCGAACAGCGACGAACTAGATCAGAAAAATCACTCAATTTCCGCAAGAATTTTGCACGAACGCCACAAACGCTATAACAAATATTCAATACGCGTACCTCATCGCGTGCTACAGTGTTCACTGTTAGACACTTATGTTTATATGCGTGTCTGTACATAGCTATGTATAAGGCTTTGGCCTAATAATTAGCGATTTGATGCTAGTAGAGGGTTATCAAGTGTTACTAGAGCATATTGTTGTCTTTAAAGTCATCCCAGTTGTTGTCATTGTCAATTACAATCGTCGAGACCCAATAACCCAGCGGTGGTGATTTCTTTAGTCGTTGCTTTTAACGACTCCTGTCGTTGGTAAACTCTCTCCCTCTATCGGCTAGCTCTAGCCCCATCATCATTTAATGCTCGTTGTTCGTTTTGGTTCCGTTGGTAAACATTCGCTGAACTTCATTAGTCATTTCGACGTGCGCTGCCTTTTTCAGATGACTGAAGCTCTCCACTCATCTGATCCTCGCACTGATGCCGCTCTCGACGTGGCTGCTA